ACACTTTCTTTCCACCTTTATATATGTAACTGCCACACAGACTTGAAGACCCTTACAAAAACCTTATGTCTTTGGTAGCTACCTTATAGACAAGGTATAATATGTCCAGGTCTTTAATACTGTATGTCAAAATGACTCAATTGTTTTTTTATGTTTTTATCTTTTAAAAGTCAATTGTGTATAGTGGATATCTGTGTTACATCCCACCTGCTTATAAATTTCTATAAATTGCTATTAATTGTGACATTTTAATGCACTACAAAAATAGATACATCCCTTCCCTGTCAAAATAATTCAAAGAGAGTGTGACTTGGTGATTGAGAAAAATCAATCACATTGGTATCACAAACATGTACTGTATACTTTAAAGTATATGCAATTCAATAGAAACGATTTCTGACTGGTACTGTACCACCAATTGTTTCACCATAAGGCAGCCATCTGTAGTGTCCAGTGAAAGACTGTCTGTATCCAGCTACCTGTATCCAACAGTATCGTGCAGAGTTAGACTTTGTCCAACAATCTTTATTAAAGGGCTTTTTTAATAATGTTTTGAGCACTTGTTAGTCAGAATTGTTGGGGTAAGCTTGAACATATAGGCTTAGCAATAATTTGTTGAGTTTGAGCATACAAAAAAAAATCTGTGATATGACTTTAAAAAGTTTAGAAAATGTGCTTGTTTTTTTGGGTCAAAATTGACCTGACAAGAGCAGCACAGTAGCACAGTGATTAGCAGTACTGCTTTCTAGTACTGGGGCCGTGGGAACGATTTCAGATCAAGGGTGCTATCTGTATGGAGTTTGTATTTTATTCCTGGTGTGAGTGTGTGAATGTCTGGGTCTGCTCTCTGGTTGTGTCTGTGTGTGTTCTGAGATGAACTGGCACCCTGTCCAGGGTGTACCCTGCCTTGTGCCCGTTGCTTGTTGGGAGAGGCTCTGGCTTCCCTGTGGCCATAATTGGAGGAAGTGGTTAAAAAATTGATCAATGGATGTACCTGACTACCTCTTAGTTAATATGATGTCTTGAAAAAGGAAGATATTGGGAAAGAAAAAAAAATAAAACAGCAGGGCTCCTCAATCAGGAGACCTTGGCTCCTAAATTGTTTTGAATCCACGGTGTCCTGCTACTGATCTGAAATATGGAAACAACAGCATCAAAAAGTCAAAGACTGAAGTGGAAAGTTTTGCTTTGGGGACATCACAGTTTCCATCAAAACGGAGAGCACATATTTAACATCAGGATCCCATTTGGAAATAACATTCACAGGGATAAAAAAAATGTTACACGTGTAAGCTATTAAAATGTTGGCTGTTTGCAGTCATTTTTGCAATACCTTTTAAGAGCAAATCTAATGTCGTGCATCTGTAATCCAAAACAATGCCTTTCAGTTTATTTACAGTGCTCTAAAAAAACACTAGTGTTAGACTTTGGGGACTAGTTGGTGTGTAATGTTTCCCGTCAGTAAAAAAACAAACCTCTTTATTCAGTGTTTGGTTGGGGAGCTATTCAAATTGTTCTGATTGGAACAACTGCTTCACAGTCCAGACAGTAAATAAGTACACATATTTAAAAAATCATCTTTCGTACTTTTGTTAAAAAGATTGGACTCGAGTCATTCACCGTATTTGACTCTGTAAACCACTATTAATCACTATTCAGGCAAAATGTGGGTTAATCCACAGTTTAACTGATGTTCTGTGCCAGGAAAACATGAGTGAGATCTGCAGTTTCGGCATCATAACATAAATAATGGCACAACTATGGGATGCAGATCTTGATCTATGCATTGCTGGGCTACGAAACCCCCACCATATGCTTTTCTGGACTGCTGATAAAAAATGATTGAACTTGATGTTAATAAGAAATAGCAGCCTGTAATATAATAGAAGGTCCTTTGGTGTGGTCACCTTTGTAAAACACAAATATCATTTAAATGTTCCTTGTGTTGTCTCCATTGTTTCACTCAACTGTCAGCCCTGAGTGCATGGAATTGTGCTTTATTATAGACAACAACATACTCAACATTGTCTGTTACACATTTTCTGTAGAATGTTGTTCAATAGCTGTCAATCTTATCAGTGATATTGGTGTTAAACATGTGGCAACTAAGAAGTGATAGCAATGGGGCCTGCTGAGGTTGACACTGTGCTGTATTAATAAACACTGCTCTCTGAAATAGTCTAATAGTCCATCAGACTTGCAAAAATCAATTATGTAAATGAGAGCAGGTAATGGTACAAACATGTTGCTGTGACATCACATAATGCATGATGACCACTTCCAGCAGAGAAGGCAGCATTCTTTGTTTTGTGGTTGGAAACCATGGGCTGCAAAATCTGCAGCAGATTCTGTAGAATTCTGTACCTATTTTTGGCGGTGTTCATTGAAAATGAGATGAGGCGAATTTTCATTAAAAATGTGAGCAGGCTACATAATATACATAGGCTCTTACATATCTGTGCCTCACAATGTTGCATTTGGTTGTAAAAATCATACAGTACATGTCTTCTACCAAAACAAATTTTGCGTATGTAATACAGAATGACAGAAGTCAGAATAGGGAAGCAACCTGGTGACTATGTTTACTTGGGTTGTACACATACTGTAGTGTGTGGCCGGGTTTCCTGGGGATGGTGTGTTGTTTTTTTTCCCTTTCACTTTCATGTTTGCTTCTTCCCCCTTGTCTGCCAGCATTAAATAATCCTTTCATCACACTATGAGTGACACACTATCCGTCTTGTCACTGATCAATTACCACAGAGTCAGAGAGAATGCACAGGCTGTCTAGTGGTGTTGGCTTGTCTGGGGACCGGACTGAGAAATGTTTAAAGAGGGAGGAAGGTGAGACAGTGCACAGTGCACACAATCATGATCTGCAGGTTGCTTACATCTGCTTACTTAGACATTTCTGCTCCTAATTCAGGTCCTGGAGTTCCACCTTTTGTGTTGAGAGTCTTGAGAGTGGATTACATGGCCAACAAGAGAGTATAGGAACTCCAGCCAGTGGAGGTTGATGGCTGCTTCTTTCTTCCTCCTTTGCTCTTCTTCTTGTTCCAGACAGCAGAGCAGGGAAGGCAGAATGGAACATATCGTTTGCGACTGTGAGGAAGGAGGAGGACGTTAATTAGACAACTAAATTGCCGTGCTGAGCTTGTTTTTCTCTTTCTTTGGTATGGCGGAGGTAGGCGTGTCGGGATGACTGGACTGAGTTGATTTGGGAAAGGGGGGCTGCTGGGAGCTTTTGTTGTTTGGAACATGAAAGATAGAACTATGCTTCTCAGGCTTTTTTTCAGCTTCTTCTTTTTGCTTGGGAGTAGTTTGTCAATTTATTGGGGTTTTTTTTGCTTGTCTTCAATGCTACCTTGTTGTGGTTTCAAGTACCATGTTAGGATAAAAACTGCAATTGTGTTCTCAATCTGTCTTGTGCTGGTCTCTGGTGCCCTGGTGGCTTGGGGACTCTGACAGTGTGTACAAGTATAGGACCTATAAAATTGCTATGTGGCACAGCTGGCTTCACTATATTTGTGACATATACAGTCAGATATTGTTAATCGTTTCATCCATTTGCTGACTGTTTTATCCAATAAAGGGTTGCAGGGGAGCTGGAGCCTGTCATGGACTCCAGTCCATCATAGGGCACACACAGACACAAACACACACACACACACCAGGGCCACTTTTCCCAGACTCCAATTAACCTACCAGTAATTCTTTGGACTGTGGGATGAAACCAGAGTGCCCAGAGGAAACCCACATGAACACAGGGAGTACATACAAACTCCATGCAGATGGTCAGAAATTGAACCCCGGACCCCGGTGCTCACGTTATTAATCAGCAGCAAGACAAAACCCACAGCGTGTCCCAGATTTGTCATGTTTTTTTGCTGTTTAAAATAAAGTAGACACACAAAAATTAATCTATTTTTTTTAATAAGATGTCTATTAAGTAAAATGAGGCTTCTTTATAAGTCTTCTTGTATGCCAGGAAGTTTTGAGGATTTTCATAACTCATAATTTGAGAATGATCTTTAGAACGAGGTGTTGTCTAGGCAGAGTTGGCTTGTTTTTAAACAAACCCCACTTCTTCTTCAGATGTTGCCACAGGGACTCTTAAGCCAAGATAAAGCATTTTAGTACAGTGTAAGAGAACTGCTGGTGTCACAAGACCTAAAATACTGAAAGACTAATTCAGCTACCAATAAAACTAGCTAAGCCCAGGTTTACAACAAAGTCTCTAAATACTCACCAGACAACACTGCCTTAAACCCATAATCTGATTAAATCAGAACATATGATAAGATGGTACTGTATACTTAAATCTCAGGCATTTTTACCAAAGTCAAAATATTGTCTTTCATCATTAAACTCGCAAAACAAGAATTTAGATGGATGCAAACAGGAAAACGCCCTCTCGTTTTGCTTGAACAATTACTTTGTCATGGAATTGTGCATACTTTCTTATTGAAATGTCTGAAAACCTGTAAAACAACATGGCTGTGTTGGAAAGTAAATATTTAAGTATATTAATAACAGACTGATCCTCCTCATATCCACAAATATAGGAGGAGGGTGTTTCCAATACTTCGACAACAGAATACTTCAATGATATCAAAGTTTAAAATTAGAAACAATTAGAGAAATAGTTTAAGAATGAGTTTGTATTACTCATTTTATATAGTTTTGCCGCCCAAAAACAGCCAGTCTAGTTAAAGTGTAAAAAGTGGGATGGCAAGTAATCTAGAACTATACGCGTTAAAAGTGTAAAGTTGATTTTTTAAATTGAATTTACTACGGTGACGCAAGACTGCTGAAAGGGGAAGAAAGAAATAGACGCGTGATCTAACATGCTTCAAGTCATCCCCCCCTCCTCTTGCTGTGCGTGTGCGGTGTAGTAAATCAAGTTCCTCCCATGCTTCGTATTCGACCGCCCCCCGGGGACCCACACAACAGCCTGGCTGAAATTCTGTCCGGTAAAGAATAAAATCTGTATGGAGGAGGAGCTTATACTGTGTGTGACTCAGGCATTGGATCATATGTGCCGGCCTTCTCCAGCAATACTAATTTACATTTTTGCTCTCATCTGCTTCTTGAACGGCTACCAAGAAAGAAAATACCGTATTAGCAGGCACACCTCAATCAAGAAATAGCCGGAGAATGCACGAGTGCTACACAAACCACTCCTAGTCTTCACTTCGCTATCGAGAAAACTGTCTAGGAGAGAGCAACACCACCAGGAGTTAAAAAGGTATGGGTCTCCTGTCGAATGCATTAATGGACCCCAGCGTAGCTTTTTATTATTCAAAATGCCTTTTATCTGTAAAAGTAAAAGAATGCTTTATATGAAATAAGAAATTGGTTAAAAACATCGCCAATAACTAACTTTCCGATTAAAACTGCAATACGAAGAAAAACAAAACTTTTTTTTTCTTCGCAAGAGCATATGGTAACCTCATGTTGAGAGGGATGCTGCTGAGGGAATTTCTGAGGCAAGCTCCGTGGTTTTGAACACCAATATGTCCGAAGTATCGTGTACTGTAGGATTGATCCTTTATTGGCAAGTGGGTTTTTTTAACACCATAATTTGTTCAGTTCTAATTCCTTATGGTTAGTGCATGTGAAAGTCGTATACATTCTTCATCTGAATTTTTCCGAAAATAATCTCCCTTTGAGTTCTTGGGAGTAGAGATGTATCGTTTTGTATGTTTTTTTTCATTTCTATTTAACAGTGTTCTTTGTTTTAAAGAAAGTCTTTTATATATAGTATTGCACGTGTGTTCCTATTACATATAGTAATTTGTAATAAAAGTCATAAAATATATGCTGTGAAAATGTTATAAGTATGTACAGTACTTCATTGTATAAGGACCGGGTCAGAGGTGGTTTTCACTGAAAATTTCAGTCAGGGTTCCGGGGACTCCGGGGGGTTTCCTGTGTCCTGGGTGGTCCCCCCAAAACTGGGATTTTTTTTGTGTCCATCACTCTTATACTATTGCTGCCCCTAGTAAACTTTAATTATTTTATTAATTTATTTCGTGGTGTACCTTCTCAACGATCAATTTGGTCAGACAATGAATGCAGTGGGCATTTTGACCTGCAGTTGCGCTTTATTATTTTTAGTTACTAGTAGAATTATATATGATAATTCTTTACATACAGTAGAATTCATATAATAATTCCACGCCTCCATTAGATTACCGCCCTGCGTCGAAGTGGGATGTTACGTGTGTTTACGGGGGATTTGCCTGTCTGAAAGGGGTGCCCGTCTGGGCTCAGAGGCTTCAATCCTGTAGTGTTACTCCAGAAGGTGTTACTGTAGGTGCGTCTATGAGTGGTGTGTTTTAGTGCATAGGGATATGTGTTTTTTAAATAGGTTTACAGAAAGTAAAACTAGTTTTTTAAGAAAATAAGACTTTTCCATTGTACACTTATTAAATGTGTTTTTATTTGGGTTATGTGGCAACCAGTATATGGTAACCATTTAATGTTGCTGCCACACACATCTTCAGTCCTGTGTTTGATTCTTGACTAAGAGTGGCTTCTGTGTGGACTTCTGTGTGGAGTTTACATGTCCAAACATGTATGTAAGTAACGTTTTGGCAACTGTCTCAGGGGTAAAAGAAGAAATGCATAACAATATGCTCTGGTGCATGTATGCAGTGTCTTTTAATGTCAGGATTACATTACTGTTTCCTGACATGTATTGATACTGTAGATACAATGAAAAGCATCTTGATAAAAATAATTGAAGTTGACCATTCTTGTGTAAAGATAAATATCTTGAAAATGAAAAAAAACAAACAGGTGTGTGTGTGTTTTCAGAATATAGTGGACTAATCCTGCAAGTTAAGGGATAACATGTGTGATCAATTTAGTTTGTATTTTGCTAAAACTTCTACATCTGCTTTTTGATCTTGGAACTAATACTGTGGAATTATCCTCTTTTCATAGCACCTAAGAACATTGCTTTAGGGTAGCTGCTGCAAAAGCCAAACAGTTAGCTAGAATCATTACATTTAAATATGCAAAGTGGAGGAAGTTGTTTACATGCAACAATAAAAAAATCTGAAATGTGTCCTTTCAGATTTATTCTGATTGATACAAAGTTACCATCCAGCCTTTAAAATTATTTCTTCAAAATAGAACTAGAAATGATCTTACTAAGTCTGCTTTTTCTTTTAAGCAAAAAAAAGTTCTGTGCTTTCCAGCACAGAAGGAAACTGAATGTTTTTCTCTCAGTGATTTGTAGCTAGGATACACTGTATTCTAGAAAGTTTCCCCCCTCACCCACAAAAAGTGACATTAACACTTTTTGAAAGTATAAAATAGAAAGCTTCTGTGCTTTTCTAGGTTTGATTGTGAAATCATTTTTTTACAGTTTTTTAAATCCACATTTTAATGCATGGAGACAATTAGATTTTTAGTGCCTTGTGATGTAGCCTATTTTTCAGAAAGGAGTCAAGTTTATTTTATAAACAGCTGTTTCTGAGTAAGCTCATTCTGATGTTTTTTTCATCTTCTGTTTGCTTTAAGTATGAGGATTACAGTATGTCTTTCTTGTACATAATCGTGTATCAAGACGTGAGTGCGACAAGTACACAGGGAATGAAATGAATTTGATAATAGTGTCCTTGTACTGTATATGAAATCATGTATAAATCCATACCAAAGTCTGTACTTTGACCAAACTTCAATCCCCCTGCTAGTTTCTAGTTTTTTAAATTGCCAGATGATGAGTATTTTCTGTTTAGGAGAGACGTCTTTAGCCCTTTATTCAAAACACTTATGTTCTTAAACCTCCATAGAAAGTATTGGGAAAGTAAGCACCCACATTTTTAAATGTAGGCCGCTTGTGCTTAACCACATAGTAGGTGTCAGATTTGAAATTTGTGATTTATGGATGGCCCAGAATTCTTGCCCATTTGAATAGATTGTTTCCAGTTTTTAATAATTTGTTTAAATTTAATGAGTTAAACATTTCCTGTAAATCGTCAAAATAAAATTATACTGGGATTTTATTCAAGGCAGTTAAGGCAAAGGTTAAATCTGCATAGGAAGCAATGGGGATTTTAAGTGATTTGAATATAGTTCCCATTTAAACGTATATAACATTCCCAAAGTGCATTTTTTAAAGTGTATTGCAAAAAACAAAATTGTGCATGGAGAGTAATGTGTTTTCTCTTAACTTATTTAATTCCATTGGTGGATTCTGCACATGTTTTTTCTGTTCTTTGTTGCAGAGAAATTTGAGTACATTTCTAAGAATGTTGGGTTTCTTGAGTACTGTAGGTTTCAGTGGAAGTAGCCAATCGTAATACCAGTTTGCTGTGATTTTGGCCAGGGGATGATGCCATCGGTCTTCTGTTTAGAAATTCTGTCATTGATCTGTCTGAGTGGCTCAGATTGCTGTCATCCTGAGATGTGAAGCTGTGTCTCATCATGAGTCTGTAACCATTAGGTATCATTTCAGACAGAATAAACATTTCATGGTATTTTGCTGCATTTCAATTTCCTTTAGTCATACAAAGGTTTTGTGACCCAGCAGAGATGAAGCTTACTCATGTCACCATGTCACAATGGTACTTCCAGTATTGTCTGTAGCCACCATTTTCATCTTGGGCCATTGCTTTCTAACCAATTCATCCAGTTCTAGGTTGCAGCAATCAATGGGCTCAAGCTGGGATACACCCTGGATGTGATGCTGGTCCATCACAGGGCACACAAAGGCACTAAACACAAACACTCACATCAGGGCCAGTCTTCCCAGAAGCCAGTTAACCTACCAGTATGTCTTTAGACTGTGGAAGGAAACAGGAGCACTGGAGGAAACGTATTTAAACATGGGGAC